GTCTCAACCAAAGTCTTTGGCTTCACATTACCATCCATTCCACTCCACTTTTGCCTCTATCTTTTGACCTTGGATATGAATTCGCCCTTAGAGATGTCCATGTCACTGCCGAAGTAGCAGTAGATATCATTAACGGTTCTTTCTGTTAGCTCAGTGAGCTTCGCTGGAAAATAGAATTAAAGCTAAAAGGGTGTTGGCTTCCTAAAACAACTAGAGAGTGAACAAGTCTAGGAAGCCAAATAACATTTCTTGTCATTTATGGATTAATTAAAAGGTACTGGGAAAACAAACACACAGGCCAGCATAATTCGAAATTTAAAAATCTGTCCTATTTTATCGTAACTTTGACAAATGCTATAAGGGAATAAAACCTTTTTTTTCCAGATTTCAACTGTACGCATGGGTGTACGTGCGTATATGGATGCTACACCCCTGAGAAATCGTATGAACACTACGAGTGCACTTTGCAATATCTAGCTACGAAGTTTTGGGAGTTCTTAAAATTGCATGAGCCTTTAGACAGGTGAAAATTTTGCTGCAGCCATCTCAGGGCCTCTGGAGCTTTGCACACAAACTGACACTTCTCACTGACCTTCAAAGTTGATTTCCTTTCATTCGTCCATTCTTACCATAAACGTTCAACCAAGTTTGTGTAGCTCCTGTAATATTTTACTTTAAGCATTTTCTTTACGTTCTTTGAGATCATTTTGGTCTGACAAAGCAAGACTTTAGTCCGAAAGTCATTTCCATTTTCCATGGCAAGTTCCATATTACACTCTCTAAGCTGAGGCTGTAAAATGCCTGTAGTCAAAGTCCCTCTTTTCGCTCTGAGTGCCAGCTGTTTGAAGGCTGGATAGTGCTATCCAACAGATAAATTGCTATCCAGAGGATAAGTGCAATGGTGGATCCAGACCTTGAGCTAAGGTGGGAGGCCCGGTTTGTTTTTGCTTGCCCTATCGGCTTTTCCTCCTTCTGTGATTTTTTTTTCTTTTTTTACCCAAAATCACAGGGGGGCCGGACCCCTGGGCCTCTCCCCTAGATCCGCCACTGAAGTTTTAACAAAACAAACCACGCTATCCACTAGATAGTGATTTATCCGGAGGATAATGTTATCCATCTTTCCAACTACTGGGGCTAGAGCGTTAAGGATGGCTTGATGCAAGAGATTCTAGAGACTATGATCAGGGGCGTAGCTATGGGGGGTCCTGGTGTGCCCGTGACCCTGCCTTTTGTAAGCCTTTCTTAAGCAAATTACCTACAACAGGTGGCGATAACGACATGCCAAAGTATCCTACACTTGGACACAGTGTGACCCCCCTTTGAAAAATCCTGGCTACGCCCCACATGATCATGAAAAGGAGAGTTCACTGATTACAAATAAATCAGATCACTTTTATTATTATTGAAACCACTAATATGCATTTATTAAACCCAACCTATTTTTAATTTTTATTTTCATTACTCACACATTGTACATATTTGGTCTCTTTATTTTTTATTTTTTTATTTTTATTAGATGTAAATGTTGTAAATTAGTAATGCAGGTCCACATCAGCCAACGGCTGCCAGATCTTTTTAACCTGCGAGACCAAATAAAGTATGTATGTATGTATGTATGTATGTATGTATGTATGTATGTATGTATGTATGTATGTATGTATGTATGTATGTATGTATGTATGTATGGTCTCTTGCTTGATGCTGATGCTTTTATTTCTGCTTTGTTTCTATCCTAGTAAGCAAGTGGGCTACAAGTATTGCTATTAGTTTTAAACGAAACTAAAATAGCCCCAGTTTTCACTTAAATCCGTATGTGCCATGCTTAATTTTATTACTATTATTATTCACAGATGGTATAAAATCCGACATCCAAAAATTAGTACAAAAGGCACCGGATGGAAAAGCTATTCTTGATAAATTAATGTAAGTGTGAACATTTAATAATCAAAGATGTTGCTAAAAGACTCACAGGTTCAATGATTTAATGCTTGAAACAACATCTTACAGTTACTGCTAAAAGTCAGTTTAATCTAAACTAAACAAAAGGAAATAACTGAGTGAAAATAGTGACCAAATGTATTTAATAGTAGATTTGCACGTTGGCATCATTTGACCACAACTACCAGAACTCCTTTCGTTTTTTCTTTATTATTTAAATTTTGAATTCCCAGTGGGGTTTAAATAACAGTTGCCCTAATTAACATAAGAAACAGAAAGAGTGAAGGATTCCAGTAGTTGTAATCAAATGACACGATCATGCAAATCGCCTATTCTGTAGCAAGGATCTCGTCAGCTTCCAGTCTTTTTCAAGTTCCGATGGTTCCCAACTTCCATTACATTACATTTGCCTCAAATGTAATGTAATCTCAAATTTCTTTTGCCTCCATTCTGTTCGTTACATCTTTGTCAGTTTCTGAGCAAGACCTGATTATGAATCAAAGTGCTCTATGAGCAAATCCGTGATTTTCCTATTGAATGATGGTTGACATGAGCTAACCTTTACGTAATATGACAGATTTTGAGTCCTCCAGTCTACTCCGATTCTGATTCAGACAAGAGTATCTGAATGGGGTTTAACCGATAGCCAACAATTGGTGAACATTTTAATTCTCAGTTGAGAAATGACGCTTTCTTTAACTGAGAGCAGAGATCTGATTACTGATGGCTGAGAAATGGGTTGAAATTTTAAGCGATAGCTGGCAGAATCCAGACGTGTAGTCCACAAACCTACAACTACGTTATGACACTTACTGACCAACGTGAAAGACAGGGACAGACCTAACAACAGACAGGGAGCAGTTTACAAAATTAAATGCTCCAACTGCCTGGCTTCCTATATTCGTGAGACTGACAGAAACCTTAACAGGAGAATGACAACACAAACGAGCCACGAGAAATGGAGATGCCAACAGTTACATTGCTGTACATCATCAACTGACAAACCACAACATTGACTGGGATTCTGCTCAGTGCTTAACCTACAGTACAAACTATTTTCAACGACTGACCCTGGAAAGCTGGTATACTAACCTAGAACAAACGCCACTTAACAGATGTCAGCAACTACTGGTGCCTTACAAACGACTTATCCATGACGGAAAGGAAACCGACAAACAGACTTCTAATAGACCGACTTAATTTGACTAACAATAGACAGATCAAAACCCACCAATGACTGATGGCAAACTTTACATGAGTCTTTCAGCCAATACCATCATGGCTAAACTGACCAATCACGTTCAACGGACCAGACTTATAACATCATCAACTGACATCC